TGGTAATTTGGTTTGAAAATGAACATCTATAGTTAGAATTTTTTTTTCTTTTTTGAGAATTGCTGTTTTTTTTTTTTTGGGGGGGGTGGGGTGGGTGAGAATTATTTCTGTGCAATTTTCACATATGTATATTTTGGAGATTTGTCTACATTTTTGCTTTTCAATTTTGCTGTCTCCAATTTTAAATACTTACCTTTAGAATCTAAAGTCCATTCTTTCTCCTGCCTTCCTTTTTTTTCCTTCCAGAGGGCACATGCTGTTGCCAGAGAAAAACAGAGAGGATAAGAGGAAGAAAGCATCCCATCCATGGGGTGTGGTCATGCCACAATCCCTTTTCCATTTCTCCATCTTGTCAGGATTTGGGGCACACTTAGATATATGCCCAGCATGCTTTTCAAGCTGCCAGGGCTGGGATTAGAACTGTACAGTTGACCATATGGAATCCAGCTCTCTTAACCACTGGGTCATGAGGCTGGCCCTAAAGTCCATTATTTTCTTCCGGGTTGATTATAATAGTAAAAAGTTGGGGGGAAAATCCCTAACTTAAGAACTATCAGTGAGGGACCAGCAGTTGGCATACATAATGGCTATGTCGCTGGACTCCATGTAGCCGACCGTGGTGTGAGTCCTGGACCTGGTGGTTTAAACTCACACCAGGCGTGTGTGTGTGTGTACCCAAGATCCCGAGAGGAGAATGGAGAAGAAGGGATTGCGGCGTGGCCATCACCCCTGGGGAGGTGATTTCTCACTTTTTGTCTCTCTGCTTCTCTTTCTGGCAAGCAGACACATCCTGTAGCAAAAACCTCTCCAAAAAAAAAAAAAAAAAGAAAAGAAAAGAAAAGAAAGAAACAACTATCAGTGAGTTTAAAAAACTAACTTATGGAACATCAGAAAACACAAACATAGAAAATGAAAAGTTTCCAGCTTGATCACTCTTACTGTGAGCCTGTTTCCTTGACATGGACAGAGGTGCTAGCTGCAGCAGCTCCTAGCTCAGGAATTGACAGGGCAAGATCCTCATTTTCCTCCTTCCTAAGGGTCGCTGTTTTTTCGACAGGATGGAAATGGGGTAATTGGGAAAGCTCCCCAGCCCTAACATTCACGAGGGCATTTGTGTCCAGAAGGTGGCACCTCACAGGCTCTCAAAGACAGAGTTGCAGAGGACTGAGGTAAGGAATGGAGTAAGGAGTTCAAAGGAAGCAGCAGGAGCAAAGGTGTGTGTGTGCGTGTGTGCATACTGTAAGACAATGTCTCACTGTAAGATAATGTCTCACTGTGTCTTGATCCTCCTCAATCTCCCAAGTAGCTGGCACCACAGGTGTGCACCACCACATCCACCTCTTTCAGATAGGCTCTTTGTTGGTCTTGAGATTGCACTTCTCCATGAAGGGGTTTTTGATAAAAATGGAGGTGATGTGAGGGGGCTTCAGTAAGAAGGCAACTATCCTGTGCTCATGTACGTCTCTTCCTTTTCTAGACGTCTTTTCCCAGTGTAAGAGAGCACATGAAGTTGGGTGATTTGTAGGGTCATCAGCTGGGAGTGGCTTTGATTCTGATAATTGGAAATACAAAAAAAGGAGGTCACAGGACACTTGGTGACCTTAGTAGGGAGGCCAGAGAAGGGTCCATTGTCTTCAACAGAAATAGGGGTGTGGGCAAAGAGTAGGCCGTGACATGATCAGGTGTCTCAATTTCTTTATTGGAGATGAGGTAGAATGAGATAGCGAAAGTGAAATGGGAGTCCTAGGCAGGTTAAAAGATGGCAAGGCAGGGACCAGCAGATGGCGTAATGGTTACATCACCATACTCCCATGTTATTGGCCAAGGTTCAAATCCTGGACCTTGTGGCTTGAAACTCATGCCAGTTGCATATGTGTGTGTGCCCACAATTCAGAGAAGAGAATGGAGAAGGAATTGCGGCATGGCCATCACCCCCCCGGGGGGTGATTTTTTTGCTTTCTGTCTCTTCAGAATGCACATGCATCCTACAGCAAAAATCTCTCAAGAAAAAAAGCAAAGCATTTGCTGAAGAGGCATCTGTTACACTCTGAAAAACTCTTGACCTGGATTTGAATATACCTAGCTTTGAAATACAGCTTCAGGGGCCAGCAGTGGTGTGATGGTGAAGGTACTGAACTTCCATGTGACCTACCGCAGTTTTTTTTTTTTTTTTTTTTGAGAGATTTTCACTGTAGGGCGCGTGCGCTCGCCAGAGAGAGACATAGAGACAGAAAGCGAGAAATCACCCCCCAGGGGGGATGGTCATGCTGCAATCCCTCCTCCTCCATTCTCCTCTCGGGATCTTGGGCACGCACGCACATGCGCCCGGCGTGAGTTTTAAGCCACTGGGTCCGGGACACGAACCGCGGTCGACTACGTGGGAGTCCAGCGACATAGCCATTACGCTGACTGCTGGTTCCCTGACCTACCGCAGTTTTGAACTGCAGACCTGGCCACTTGAAAATCACCCCAGGCTCAGGGCGGGCAGGCAGGGCGTGGTGATCAAGGGCGCTGGACTCCCACATGGCTGACCATGGTTCGAGTCCCAGACCTAACGACTTGCTTTCTCACTGTCCCTCTCTCTCTCACTCTGTCCCTCTCTGGTCAAATTAAATAAATAAAGTTAAATAAAATAATTAAGGGGAAAAAAAAAGGAAAGTCACTCCAGGCTCATGCATGGGTGTGCCCAAAGTCCCAGGAGGATGGAGAAGGGATTGTAGCATGGCATCCTCTTGGGAGGCGATTGCTCACATCCCCTTGCTAGAGACAGTCTGTGTATGTGCCTCGTGGCAAGAACCTTAAAAGACAACAAACCAGCTCCAACTGCCTCCTATCCGTAAGGCTGACTTCCTACCTGTAAAGGTGTCTACAAGAATCACTTGGAAGGATGCTGTGAAGAGTAAACGAGACCTTTGCAAGATCTAAAGTCTATCCAGGGTCATTGTCAACCTAGAGCCACAACACTGCTGACCATTAGTTGAGGGGGTAGTTACGTGTAGGAGATCCAATGCCTCACCCACCCTGTAGTGCGAGAGAGCACAAACAAGCAAGAGGGAATATGTGACATTTATGCCTATGAAGAAGCTAACTTAGAAATTCTGGTATGTAAAGAAATACCACAGGAGTCTCCCTAATAGTAAGAGTGAAGTGGGTGGACATCAGAATCAAGCCTTGAGACTCTGCCCATCCCTCAAGGCTCTATGACACAAGTGAATTGCTTAACCACATTCATCTATAAAGGGAAGAAGACCTCCACCTTTTAGGGCTGTTATGATTAAATGGGTTGTCTGCTAGGAATCTCCTATTGTACCCTGCACAAAGTTAAGTGTTAAATTACTACGATATGGTCCCCAGCAATTCACTTTCAATGTTCCATGATTCTATTTCCCCTAACTTCTCACTTTGGAAGCTGTGCACACCTCCCATGGGCACAGCTCCATCCTAGGTCCAGGACCCAGGAGTTCACACACCAGGAGTTGGAAGTTGGTGGTAGGCAGGGCCCTGCATCCCTTACAGACCTGTGATATCATCCTGTCACCCACTAGGGCTTAGAACAAGGAAGAGAAGTTAAACTAAAGGCCTATGAACCCATGTAGCTCATTTGGAAGGATCTACAAAACAATGGTTTTATAGGTAAGGAAAAGTTTAATGCTTGGAATGGGTCAACGCCATATTAAAGACCTGAGGGTGATCAAGTCTCTGGGTGCTAACCCCAGTGTTAGAGCCACCCAGGCCTTTCTGGAAAGCCTGAGGTTTTCAGAAACATACACTATGCCACAAAATTGGAATGATCTATTTTACTGGACTGTAAGCTTTCACAATGCCAAACAAAGTAGAACTCTACACAACTTTTAATTCCATTAAAAAAACTCAATATAGTTGGTACTCTCATTTTATAGTAAACTCCTTTTTGATACATTTTGTTCGGATATTTCTGGGATACAGACATACACAATAAATTACAAACTGAAATTTCATCCTCTAAAATAAAGTCCTAAAGAGCATTATGGTAGTGTGATATGAGCCCACATGGAACTTCTCAGTTTTAGTGTATCTTTAAATTACAAAACAGTAAGTTAACATTTATATACTATGTGACCAAGTACTGTCTTAAGTACTTCACATATATTATTGTAATCCATCATAACTACCCCGTGAGGAAGGAAAATACACTTATCTGATTTCACAGATGAAGAAGCTAAGAGACAGAGATTAATTTATCCAAGGTCATATAGGATGTTAGGCTTTTAAATCTGGGTTCTTGGAGTTGATTCCTATGGTCACTGACTAGAAATCTTTGCTAATTAAAAAAAAGGTAAGCTGAAAATGGCTTTATTTGTTCTTAGATCAACAGATAATGATGAACTGTAAGACTGAGCAGTGCCATGAAAGGACAGAGCATATGAAAGGGAAAGATCACTTCCAGTCTGAGCGGTGAGTGGGCAATCAAGGCAAGCTTCACAGCCGCAGTACTCAAGCAGGCCATGAAGGACAAAAACGTCTGCGTCCTATATATATATATATATTTTTTTTTGGAGAGGTTTTTGCTATACGGCGCGTGCGCTCAACAGACAGAGACAGAGAGATAGAAAGCGAGAAATCACTCCCCAGAGGGGATGGTCATGCCGCAATCCCTTCTCCTCCATTCTCCTCTCGGGATCTTGGGCACGCACGCACACGCGCCCAGCATGAGTTTAAGCCACCGGGTCCGGGACTCGAACCATGGTTGACTATGTGGGAGCCCAGTGACATAGCCATTACATTAACTGCTGGTCCCCTGCGTCCTATATTTAACAGCAGCTGAATCAATACAATATCAATAGAACTGATGATTCAGAAGACATTTAAGAAATATCCATTAAACAAGATGCGACTGCTTGTGTTAAAAAATGCCCTCTTCACCATTTACTCTAGCTTTCTGACTTCAGGATTGGCTACCCTATCTATGTTCCTAACAATACCGAAATAGATCATGGAGAAGCAATCTACTTTTTTGTCTCTTTTTTTGATAAACATCTTTTATTGTCATAGCTCAGTACATAAAAATACATCATCTTTGTGAAAAAAGAAAAAACAGAGCACTCTTGCTACAGATTCAGGGAAAGGTAAGATTACCAACAATTTCCTAACAGACGACAGTGAACAGTTCGGTGGATTGACTCTGGAAACTACAGTAACCCTGGACTCATTACATGACAAAATAGTAAATTAATCAACTTTGATCATGATATACTTTGACTATCAAAACCAATTAAGGCACAATTATCACTCAAAATATATAGACAGAACAGCAATAACCTAGATAAAATATAATTAAAATATTCTGAACATGGAACTATATGTTTAACGCTTAACACGGGTAAGACTTGGAATGGGTACAGCATAAAAGACCTTGTTTTTTTCAAATAATAGGGAGGTATGGTATATATAGGTCAGTGGTTCAGGCTCAATTTATTTATTTTTAAAATCTCTTCTGCACTAGATTCTAGTTTCTATTTTGGTTCCAAAACTAGGTCTACAGTCCATGAAGATCGAGATTAGTGAGTGGAAAATGAAGACCTTAAAAACAATCTGATTATACCAGCAGTTTGGTGACATACTGGTAGAGCTGTTCTGTAAATGCTTCAGAGGAAAACTTTTCCTGCACCCTGGCTCTTCCGGCCAGGCCCATTTTGGCTTTTAAGGAAGGTTCATGGATGAACTTCTCTATTGCTTCTGAGAAGTGCACGGGGTCAGGTTCACACAGAAACCCTGTGACGCCTTGGACAATGGACTCCAAGGGCCCACCTGAATTCACAGCGATGACCGGGCACTGCATGTACATGGCCTCCAGAGGGACAATGCCAAAGTGCTCATTGCTCGGTGTGTAAAGCACACACGTGCAGTCATGGAGGAGTGAGATTTTCTGTTTGTCTGAGAAGGACCGGAGGAAGGTCACATACTGGCCAAGGTCAGACTGCTGGACCATTTCCTTCAATTCTTGATAGTGTTCCACGTTCTCTAAGACTCTCTCATCATAACCACCTGCTATAATCAGATGAACTCTCTCCCAATCTTGGGATGCCAATCTCCCACGCAGCTGTACCAGGGCTTGCAGGGCCAAACTCAGATTTTTCTTCCTTTCATACCTGTTGATGGAGAGAAACACAAATTTTTTTCCCTCGGGGACCAATCCATCAAGCTTTTCAGGAACAGCTGAGTCGAAGCTGGTGACATTCAGAGATGGGTAGAGGACATCAGGGTCTATATGAGATAGGGACTTGAATGTTTCCTTAAAAATGGCAGCCGTGAACCGGCTGTTGACCAAGATGCAGTCTGCCATGCCTGTAGTGTATTCCTCTAGCCAGTCAATTGGGGCCCTGTACAGCCGTTTAAGAAGAGAATCTCTCTTGGTGAGAAGCAGATCTGGGAAGTGACAGTAAAACAGGATCTTCTTGCGCCTTCTGGCCAGCTTGAATACTGGGATACAGGCGGACACCTACCAAAGAAAAAAATCAACAATAGGTAAAATGACTGGTCAACTTGATTTCCACCGAACCAAAAGCACAAATACCCACCCTGCCAGCTAGTCTGTGGGCTCCTCATGGGCAATATCTGATTGTTTCTGTTCCCCTGGACTCCAACCCAGTCTAATGCCTGGTGGGCAGAGGTTGCTAAACATTTGCTGGACATGCGCTAAATTGAAAACTTCAAGTCCAGTCCCCTGGACTCCCACCCAGTCCAATGTCTAGTGGGCAGAGGGTGGTAAACGTTTGCTGGACATGTGCTAAACATTTAAAGCTTTAAGTCCAGTGGTTTCCTCTAGAAGAGTACCGTCCAACAGTAAAAGTCAAGTAGCACTGGAACTTTTTAAGAGCTAAATTAATTTTAATATATTTGTCTAAAATATTATTTTAAAATGTAATCAATTCTAAACAATATTAACAAAATACTTTACATTCTTCTCTTTCAAAATAAATCTTCCAGTCAGGTCTGTGCTTTATACTCTAGCACATCTCTCACATGTCAAGTACTCAGCAGCCAAAGGAGGGTAGTGGTTACCCTACGATACAGCACAGCTCTAAGCTTTCTCCTCCTAAGGAACTGAATGAATGCGCGACAGTAGTTTAGAGCACAGACTAAGACATGAGATTGCTGGGATCTGAATCTCAGCTCTACTAACTGTGTGATCATGATCCAGTAATCTATCCCTTTCTGGGCCTCAGTTTCCTCTTCTGTAACATGGTGACAATCATAGTCCAAGAACACTTATATGGTTAAATGCACTAATATATATAAAATGCTTGAAAGCACAATTATTTATTGAGCACACCATAAGTGCTCAATAAATATTAGCCACAATGACCATTGACCATGAACTATATGCTGGCATTATTACAGATTCTCCTATCAAGTAATCTTTATAAGATAATTCTCAGCACACTTACAACAGATGTGGAACTTGAATCCAGATCTCTAACTTCCAAACTCAGAATTTTTTTCACCATATACTACAATTTGGCTTGCATGTGCTTATTGACACATGCAGGATGTTTGGTAAATGCCTACATTTCTTAAAAAGAAATAGCTTCCACACAAGCAAGGATGATCAAAAATAACTCAGGAGTCATAATTAAAGGTAAGTGCAAATACGATGTCCTTTCTACTCATCAATTTGGCAATGATTACAATGGTCGATAATATCCAATGTGGACAAGAGCATGGAATAACAAGCTCTAACACATCTACTGGGAAAGTAAAGTGATACCATCTCTTTGGGAGACAAATTTGGAATAGATACTGACATTTAAACTGAACAACTCTTTGATCTGCCAGCTTTATTTCTAGGAATTTACTCAAAGGACATGCTGCAGAAGTATAAGGAAAAAAAAGTACAAGGATGCTCATTACATTACTAATCTATACACAATCTGTTCATGTTAGTGTCCTTTAACAAAAAAATGTACAAACATGGTTCAAACAAAAGTGGAATGTGCCAAATATAAATTTTTGCTGAAAAAAAAGATGCAACGTGCCTAATAGCTATGTCATAATCCTAATTATGCACAAATAACATCTCTAAACAGACAGCTTCTGGAAGGATACAGGATAAACTGTTAAAGAAGCTACCTTCAGGGAGTGGAAGGAGATGGGACTTTTACATGATAACATTTAATACTATTTGAATTTTTAATCCTGAGTAAGCATTACTCTTTAAAATGAAAAAAAAAAAAAAAAAAAAAAGGGTTAGGGAGGTAGCATAAGAAAGGAGTCCAGAATTGCTACACACCAGATCCGGGGACATTATTTACCAAAGTAAAGAACTTGGACTTTTCTCCAAAGACCAATGGGGAGCCAAGTTAATGCCTTAATAGGCACAAGAGAAAAATATGGTGTTCTAAACACAAGACACTGCTGAGAATCAGGGTGGCCTGGCTACGAAGAGGCAGTGGGAAGTGTGTGGCAGAGTCAAAAGGCACATCCGAAAGGGAAAACAACACAGGAGTCACCCAAAAGTAAAGATAACTGAAGGCTGACTTCTAATTCTAGTGTTTCAGAGCTGACTCCAAGGCCACTCTGCGCTAGGTCGCGGATCACCAGTTACAACGCAGATTTCTGGGCCCCATCTCAGAGCTCCAGGATGAAACTTCCGGGGGGCGGGGCCCTGCCACAGTATAAAGGGTCGACAGTGAAGTTTGAGGGCCACCGTTCTCGTCCAGCTCCTATAACAACAGGTCAGGTCCGCTCTTTCCGAACCGCAGAACGAACAGGACCTCCCCGACAAGTCACGCTGGCGCTGCGACCCCCACACTGAAGTCCTCACTGGCACGGCGGGCCCCGCGGCCGCCTCACCTGGTCGCACACTACCACGTCGAACTCCTCGTCGGCGAGGAACTCCACGTAGAGAGCCAGGAAGACCATGCGCACG